AATTCATGAGTGTTGTTTTACCTCCAATACTGCTGCTTTCAACACAGTAGCTGCTTTTAACAGAGTAGCTGCTTTCAACAGAGCAGATGCTTTCTACACAGTAGCTGCTCTTTACACATTGGAAATATGTGTTTTCTGATGGTCTTAGGGGACCCCTGTGAAAGGGTCGTTCGACCCCCAAAGGGGTCGCGAACCACTGCTGTAGAGATTTCCTAAAAATACAGACAAGAGAATATGCATAGTGAACAAGCATGGGGTGTCAATGAGCCTCAATAACCCCTATTCGTAATTTTAGAAAGGGGTACTTTGTTAAAGGATCAGTCCACCAAAAATTTGTATTTCAGGTTTGGGCAAATGCCAGCTTTTTTGTGTATATATAAGGAGATTCTGCACCTGTTGAAGAAGGGGTCTCATTCTCCCCACTGAACTTTTCATTTATTTTTTAATGTATTCCCAAAACTCCTGTATCACAATTGAGACTTAGTTGCAGGAGCTGCCATAAATTAATGTCAAAGGTACTTGCATACAATGGATAGACTCTCCTTCTGTGCAGGGAAATAACATCTAGATGAGACTCATCTTAGAGAAAACAGCATGCGGCTCGTGTACTGTGCAATAACATATTGCACTAGTGATGCTGTTATTACTCCATTGTTACATGGCAGGCTTCTCCTGAGCCGGCAATACAATTCCTCTTGACATATTCCGACAGACCTCTCTGACGGTCTGGTGCTGGGACCCAGTTATCAAATATGGTAATCTTTGTTACAGCACAAGTGTAGGAGATGGCTTCCAGCATGCAATGTCTTTGAAGCATTTTGACACATGTCATCCATGTTTACTTTTTGACATAAACATGACTGGATGGGTAAACACAGTGATGGGGTTTGTTTGAAATGAATCTTCTAAGTGAGTGCAAAATAAAAACTGCCTACAGTTCACAAGCTTTGCATTTTTACAGAACTTTCAATCAAAGCTTACATTTTTCTTTTACAACCTGATTCAAGGGGCACATTTATAAACGTTTAATGACTCCGGGCACACTCTTCTGCATTGGCCCTCATTATACATAAATCTTTCTGATGGTAGATTCAGAGGGCAAATGCAAATATGGATCTTTGGCTGAATCTTCTTTATTGTGCGATGATTGAGTGATGCCATAGGGAATTATTGACCAAATCAGTGGTTTGCATAGTTGAGAATGCTTAAAGCTCAACTCTGGGATATGCAAATATTTTCTAAACACAAGAGACATGTGCTTTCTTACTGGGATCTTAGTGTGCTTTGTGTATTTCTTCCAGATTTGTGCAGTAATCCAGGGTGAAACTTCACCTCTGTGCAGGAACGTCCTGTAATAAAGACCAGTCACTGCTGCTCTCTTTTCCTGTGCAGGGTGACTGGTCTTGTATGCGCCCCTTATGCAGCCTGTAGTGGGTGGAGATGTTGTGAAGTACAATGATTATGTCACCACTACTTTTACAAGGTAATAACTGGGAGTGTAAAGACATTTGGTGATCATAAAGTTTATTCATCTTCTTTGTGGCTATTGAAGAATATAACTAAATGGAAGTTTTTGTGTACTGAGTTCAGCTTTAAAGCGAACTCCTGCCAAAACATTTTTGTTGTTTTGGAAAGATTGGGGAAAGTTTCACAACTCTATCAGATTTTATTGCTTTTCTTTTTGACCATTGAGGATTGTAATCCTCAGGTTCAGTAACAGTGGCAATGTTATCACTGGGTCTGGAAAAAAATCTCTCCAACAGGTACACAACAGCAATAGTAGCATGGAGGAAGGTCAAGGCAAATGGTCAAGAGACAATTCCAAAAGTGAAAGGTAACAATGTGAATAATTTATTTATTTATTACAAGTACTTACAGCATATATTGTACATTCAGATCAGTGCCTAACCCTCAAGGAGTGCAATCTAAGGTCCCTAACTCATACGGTGAAGGAAATAAGTATTTGATCCCCTGCTGATTTTGAATTTCTTTAGAATTTTTTGTTGCTATTGTGTCTCTCAGTGTTACAATACACCTACCAATCAATTTTTAGACTGATAATTTCTTTGTGAGTGGGCAAACATTCAAAATCAGCAGGGGATCAAATACTTATTTCCTTCACTGTATTCATACATGCACATACTAGGGCCAATTTATACAGAAGCCAATTAACCTACCAGCATGTCTTTGGAGTGTAGGAGGAAACCCACACAGGCAAGGGGAGAACATGCAAACTTCAGGCAGGTGGTGCCATGGTTGGGATTCGAACCAACAACCCTAGTGATGCCAGGTGGAAGTGCTTTACATTTAGCCACTGTGCTGCCCCACATAATTATGCTAAGATCATGATTATTAATGGCACGTGTAATGTAAAAAAAAAATATAAATCTTCAAGGTGGTATGGTAAGAAAATTGCATCAAGGATAATGCATTGAAGTTGGAATTTTTTATACTTAAACTTGTATATAAAAAGAAAAAGAGAAATGGCAAAAATTGGGGTACTTCACAATTTGGGTGAAAAAGAAAAAAAGGGGGAAAAATGGGGAAGGGGAGGGAAGAGAAGCACAACTCTCCCTGAGGAGGGGGGTGCACAGGAGAGAAGTATAAAATCCACCCCTGGGTCCATATAATCAAGCATCTGTTTAAAAGACAACTTTTAGGAAAGGTTTTGTAGTGATACACTAAAAAGAGTGAAAAAGAGATCCCGATCACTCTGCCTCCATATCTTGGATTGCTTCTGCATAATCCAAGGAAAATCTAAATTGTTTCCTATAGAACAAGGTACATTTAAAGGCTTCAGATGTGTCCCCAAAAAAAAAGTCAGATCCTCAGTATACATAATGTAATTAACTTTGGAGTTCCATTGGCCAATAGTAGGTGCGTTGGGTTGTTTTCATTTGCTTGGAATACAGACCTTTGCAGCATTAAGCAAATTGATTTCCATCCACTTTTTTATTGTTGTCAGTGGCCACATTGAGAAATTGGTCTTACTTCTTGCCCTTTATTAGTCATGGAGTGCATGGAGTAAATAAGGGAATGCAAAATCTGGTGCAACTCTGCATGGAAACCAATCAGTTTCCAGGTTTTATTGCCAAAGCTTTATTGAACAAGCTGAAGTTAGAAGCTGAATCTGGTGCAACTCTGCATGGAAACCAATCAGTTTCCAGGTTTTATTGCCAAAGCTTTATTGAACAAGCTGAAGTTAGAAGCTGATTGGCTGTCATGCACAGCTGCACCAGATTCTGAGTGCTCCAGTTTTAGTAAATCTTACCCAAAGTTTTTAGTCAAGTGTTAAGTAATAGGTATAGAGTTGAGGGGGATAAGTTTAGCTGTACATAAAGACCTAAGTGATAGAAATTCACTGTCAAAGGTTTATGGGTGTATATATAAGGGTTAGGTTTGGTGCTAGTTAATTTTAAGGATTAGATAAAGAGCTAAGGATTACTTTTTAGGGCTAGGCTAGGTTGTAAGTTTCAGTGTTTGATAGATGTGAAGAGTTAATTTTAGGGTGTAGGCTAAATAACATGAGCTATGCTGAGCCTGACTTTGTATGACATCTTCTCAGACCCAGTAGGCTATGAGCCACTCAACATGATAGCAAATAATGGAAAGCATGTGACCTTGCAGGGTTCCATTATCCGAATCATAGAAAACCATGCTTGTTCAATAGTTCACAGTCAACCAACTCTGAAGAGAGGTAAAGCATTTCTTGGCATAGGTTGCAGCTGAAGAACATTATGAATATTTGATCTGAAGATTGTGTGAGACATATAATAGGAAGGGTGGAGGAATAATATAAATTACATTAGCCTTTAAGTGTAAAGGATATGGGTAGGAAAAGGGTTAAGTGTTGGAGAGGATAAGTGTTAGGGATAGGTGATACTGAGGGGACAGATTGGTCAGTACAGTGAAATTAATATTATGTTTGTGCACAAAGTTCTGTGTACGAATGTCTGGCGGTAGTACTAAAAATGAATGTACCAATCTTCTCTCACTCATGTCATGATTATGAGAAACCAGTTCAAGATGACCCTGAAATGAAGACACATGGTTCCCCTTCATCTACTTCATCTAAAGGAATGAGTGTCATTCTCTGACTTGTCATTATGTAGAGAAAGAATGTAGGTTTTCTTTACACAGCCTGGACGTGGAAATACAATGCTGCTACAAATTGGTTGCACAAGGCGGACTGTCAGACCTTGTTATAGTGACATTTCAGGTGGTGATGGGTACAACTAATAAAGCTGAAGGCTTTTGTTATGCCTCAATGTGCCAGCACAGACATCCTAATATATATATAAAAAATATATGATGTGTATATACTGTATATATTTTAGGATGTCTGTGCTGACGCATTGAGGCATAACAAAAGCCTTCAACTTTATTAGTGGTACCCATCACCACCTGAAATGTCACTATAACAAGGTCTGACAGTCCGCCTTGTGCAAACCAGTGCACAAAGCAAGGTCCATAAAGACATGGGTGAGCGAGTTTGGGGTGGAGGAACTATGGGGTTGCGGTCAGGACTCTGTACAAACCAGTCAAGTTCCTCCACCCCAAACTCGCTCACCCATGTCTTTATGGACCTTCCTTTGTGCACTGGTGCGCAGTCATGTTGGAACAGAAAGGGGCCATCCCCAAACTGTTCCCACCAAGTTGGGAGAATGATATTGTCCAAAATATCTTGGTATGCTGACGCCTTAAGAGTTCCCTTCACTGGAACAAAGGGGCCAAGCCCAACCCCTGAAAAAAACAACTCCACATTATAATCCCCCCTCCACCAAACTTTACACTTGGCACAGTGCATTCAGGCAAATACTGTTCTCCTGGCAACGGCCAATCCCAGACATGTCCATCAGATTGCTAGACAGTGAAGCGTGATTGGTCACTCCAGAGAACACATTTCAATGCTCTAGAGTCCAGTGGTGGCGTGCTTTACACCACGGCATCCGATGCTTTTCATTGCACTTGGTGATCTAAGACTTGGATGCAGCTCCTCAGAAACCCTTTCCATGAAGCTCTCTATGCACTGTTGCTGTGCTAATCTGAAGGCCACATGAAGTTTGGAGGTCTTTAGCTATTGACTTTGTAGACAGTTGGCGACTTCTGCACACTATGCGCTTCAGCATGCCCTGACCCCTTTCTGTCATTTTACGTGGCCTACCACTTCGTAGCCGAGTTGCTGTTGTTCCCAGTTGCTTCCACTTTGTTATAATACCACTAACAGTTGATGTGGAATATTTAGTAGCAAGGAAATTTCACGGATGGACTTATTGCACAGGTGGCAACCTATCACGGTACCACGCTGGAATTCACTGAGCTCCTGAGAGAAGTCCATTCTTTTACAAATGTTTGTAGAAGCAGTCTGCATACTTAGGTGTTTGATTTTATACACCTGTGGCCATGGAGGTGATTGGAACATCTGAATCCAATAATTTGGGGATGTGCTTATATAGAGAAAGTGAGAATAGAGTATTTTAAAAAATTGCAACAAGAAGTTTAGTAACAGTGGTCCCTTACCTCCTTTATGGTGGTCGCCCACTGGCACTGTCCTCTTTTTCTTTCTCTGAATGCTCCCTTAGCAAGCCATGTGCTATGGGGGCACCTTTGTGGGTGCACTCCCAAGCAGGGCTGTGTGCATTTACAGACACACAGCACTGGCAAGCAATGCCCCCACTCTCTTGATAGGTGTTTGACAGCAGCAGGAGCCTATGGCTTCCTTGCCCTCAGTGTCTCCTGTGAGACCAGGAAGAGAGGAGAGCGGCGCTGCAGTCGAGACAGCACTGAAGCGGTGAGAGGTGTCACGTAAGTGTTTAGGGATGGTGGGGGTAAGATAGGTAGTGGGCAGTTTTTTTACCTTAACCTCCCTGGCGGTATTCCCGAGTGTAGCTCGGGGTAAAGTTTCAGCACCACAAGCGGTAACCCCGAGCTACACTCGGGAGTACCTTGCAGCGTTGCTCCGGGATCTCTTCTTCACTTACCTTGTCCTGCGCTCCCGCAATGTCCTCCCTGCAGTGTCCCTGGCAATGTCCTCTGGCCGATGCGGGCATCTGTCTTCCGGGTTCCGTTCCCTGTGACATCAGGACATACGGGGGGTGGAACGGCTGGAAAATTAAAAATGTGAAAAAGTGACATTCACTAAATACGCTAAAATCACATAGTAAAACATTACTGTATCAAACCATTTCACATACATTTTGTCCCGAGTGCTTTGTCCTGAGCCCTGCCTGCATTTTTACTGTTCTTTCTGCCTGGAAACTGAGAAACATCCATGGCGTCCAAAAAGCGTCCCTTTAGGTCAAAAGTGGTTTTAGACCAGCTAGAGAACAGCGATAGTAAATTAGAACCACTTGCAGAATTGAGTGATAATGATTCGTGGGGAAATTTGTCATCAGACACTGAAAACGATTTTGCAACTTTGCTCAGTGATGTGCGAACTTGGCGCTATATTTCAAATTTCAGTGTTTTTGGTTTGATTATATTATTGAATTAAATTTATTATTATTATATTATTATTTTTTATGATTATTTATTAATTCATAATTTATGATTTCGTGCTTCAAATTGTAACATACCCGGGATGTTTACTAGATTTCAGTGGGTTATTCCTAAAAATTACAAGCCTACAATAAAAAAAATACATATTTCCATGCAAAAAAATTTACCACTTTGAGCACAGCAATACTGACATAATCAGACCGCTAGGGAGGCTACTGCGGAGAATGCACGAAGATATAAAAAAGCTATTTTCTCTTTAGAACCACTTTTACTTGTTATTGTAACTTCAGAAGTTATTTGTGATTTTTTTTTTTTTATCAAAAACTTCCAATAAAATAATACCTGGTAATCCTGCCATGAAAGTCCTTGTTCAGGCACTTCCTATTTTGGGATGACAACGCTGACCCTGCCCTCCAGTTTCTGTCCTGCATTGTTTCATGCACTTCCAAATAAACAGCTATGCTGACTCACATTGTACAGGCATGATTCTGAGAAACAGCTGTGGTGGAGCAAGTGTATATAAAGAGAAAGAGGCAGCAAAAAGACTGTAAAGACTGTAGCGTACATACGAATACCTGGAAAGCATGTATTCTGCATTCTGGGCATTCATCCCTGAATGCATAAGGCACTAAATGCGATTTCTACCCTGTACAGCATTCTGCCCTATCCAGCCATTGCGTATTTCAGCCTGCCATAGACTTTGACAGTCTGCTGGCAGCAGGGGTGGAAGCTGCACCCGCCACACTAAAACACCAGGATTGCACTCACAGAAATTAGATGCCCCATGTGCAATTAGCCAAAATCTATCATTCAGGTGCAAGTCTATCCTGGAAAATGAAAGTATAAAAGCTTGAATTTGGTTAACAGCACTGGAGAAATAAATGAAGTTTCCCATACACATTGCAGTCTGGTTGTACAATCTCCTTTAGATTTACTACAACCTGATTAGATAAAACACCTGATTAGATTAAAAAAAAGAACAAAACATATTGTTAACCCCTTCACACCTAAGGGTAAAACAACACCTAATGCCTAAGTGTTAGTAAATCCATACATATCATCACAACTACTTTGTACATCCAGGTGGATTATACCTAGTTTTTTCAGGACAAATTGGGCTTTTATTTATTGGTGAATGTTAATGGGTATCTCATGATTGTTTTGTTTATTATCAAAGGAAAACTGGCTCAAAATAGTTTAAAACATATTTTTTTTAAATGTAGCTGTATATTTCTTTTCACTACCATAACCTACCACTAAAGAACAACCCAAAATAAATTCTCCTGCTCCTGGCAATCACAGGAATACCACATATGTGTATGTTATTTGTTGTTTGTACCAGGCCAGAAACAATAGTGCACATTTTACTATTTTTTTTCTCTACCTAAGACACACTGACACTAACTGTCCCTGATACTAATTAAAAAAAAAAAATCCTGCCCGAAATATATTGCCCCTGACTTGTGACCCTAACCTTGACCTTTGACTCTTACTTGACCCAAACACTAACCTAGGTATTTTTTTTTCTTTATTTTGTCTTTAATTGTTTAACCTCCCTAGCAGTCTGATTATGTCCATATTTTCTGTGCTCAAAGCGGTACATTTTTTTGCATGGAAATATGTATTTCTTTTATTGTTTTTATTGTAGGCCTGTAATTTTAAGAAATAACTCACTGAAATCTGTCCGAACAAGAGTCTAGTAAACATCCCGGGTATGTTAAAATTTTTATATCTTTGTGCATTCTCCGCAGTAGCCTCCCTAGCGGTCTGATTATGTCAGTATTGCTGTGCTCAAAGTAGTACATTTTTTTTTTTGCATGGAAATATGTATTTTTTTTTGTAGGCCTGTAATTTTTAGGAATAACCCACTGAAATCTGTCAGAGTCTAGTAAACATCCCGGGTATGTTACAATTTGAAGCACGAAATCATAAATTATGATTTAATAAATAATCATAAAAAATAATAATATAATAATAATAAATTTAATTCAATAATATAATCAAACCAAAAACACTGAAATTTGAAATATAGCGCCAAGTTCACACATCACTGAGCAAAGTCGCAAAATCGTTTTCAGTGTCTGATGATGAATTTCCCCACAAATCATTATCACTCAATTCTGCAAGTAGTTCTAATTTACTATCACTGTTCTCTAGCTGGTCTAAAACTGCTTTTGACCTAAAGGGACGCTTTTTGGACACCATGGACGTTTCTAAGTTTCCAGGCAGAAAGAACAGTCAAAATGCAGGCAGGGCACAGGACAAAGCACTCGGGACAAAATGTATGTGAAATGGTTTGATACAGTAATGTTTTACTATGTGATTTTAGTGTATTTAGTGAATGTCACTGTTTGACATTTTAAAATTTTCCGCCGTTCCGTCCCCGTACGTCCTGACGTCGCAGGGAACGGAACCCAGAAGATGGATGCCTGCATCGGCCAGAGGACATTGCCAGGGACACTGCAGGAGGGACATCGCTGGAGCACAGGACAAGGTAAGGGAAGAATAGATCCCGGGTATGTTAAAATTTGAAACACGAAATCATAAATTATAATTTACTAAATAATCATAAAAAATAATAATATAATAATATTACATTTAATTCAATAATATAATCAAACCAACAACACTGAAATTTGAAATATAGCGCCAAGTTCGCACATCACTGAGCAAAGTTGCAAAATCGTTTTCAGTGTCTGATGCCGAATTTCCCCACAAATCATTATCACTCAATTCTGCAAGTGGTTCTAATTTACTATCGCTGTTCTCTAGCTGGTCTAAAACTGCTTTTGACCTAAAGGGATGCTTTTTGGACGCCATGGACATTTCTCAGTTTCCAGGCAGAAAGAACAGTAAAAATGTAGGCAGGGCACAGGACAAAGCACTAGGGACAAAATGTATGTGAAATGGTTTGATACAGTAATGTTTTACTATGTGATTTTAGTGAATTTAGTGAATGTCACTTTTTGTCATTTTCAAATTTCCTGCCAGTTCCGTCCCCCGTACGTCCCGACGTTGCAGGGGACGGAAACCCAGAAGACAGATGCCGGCATCCGCCGGAGGACATTGCCGGGGACACTGCAGGGGGGACATCGCGGGAGCGCTGCATGGTAAGCCCGAGTGTAGCTCGGGGTTACCGCTTGTTGTACTGAAACTTTACCCCGAGCTACACTCGGGAATACTGCCAGGGAGGATACAATATTTATTTATTTTACACAGTTGTTTTTTTCTCTCTCTGAAAGTTTAGAGAGACACACAATTTATCTCTCTCCTCCATTCTGAGAGAGAAAACACAGGGGCTGGCTTCACAGTGACTGATCACTGTGATAGCCAGTCAGAGGCTACCACAGCGATCAGGTGACCGGGAAGCGGATGGTGAGACCCCAATCTCTGTGCTGGAAGTATGCCACGCGGTGCGCTCCCAGCACAGAGGGAGATATGCAAATGTGCAGCCCCAGGGCATAAAGCCCGGTGCAGTTAGGCCACATATTTGTGTGAGGTCGGCATCAAGGGGTTAAGGTAGGCCATTGTGCAATATTTGTCATAAATGTAGAGATGATTGTACATAAATTGTGCAATCAGACTGTAACATGATTGGCCATCTTTAGTACTAACATTTTAATACATGAGGTTAATTCTATAATGAGCTTATTTTAGCAGTGACAAATCAAAAAGTCATTCTGTCTAAATGTTTGCCATTATGTTACTGTTATAATCCACTGTTCCCAATAAGAATTCATGAAAAATAGCCCTGAAACGATTTCCAATTATTTCCACTAGGCAGCATGCTTTTGATATTTGAAAATGTTCGATAAGATTAGTGTTTAAGAACAAATTAACAATTTGAACATTAAGTGCCGGCATGCTGGGACGCCGTCATTCCTGAACCCCTGTAGAAAACAATATTGATTAGCTAACAAAAAGTGCTTTGTATGCTGTTTGATAATTATGCACAGGCAACTGTTTATCGTGAAAGCCATTGAGAAACATGCTGCCTACTGAGACAATAGCAAAATCAACCTGTATTGTGTCAAACAGGAAAATTACCCATTTTTTTACAGGTTCAGTTTGAAACATTAACAGTGGGAGGAAGAGGAAATTATAATGCAAATGTATGCCTTCTGAAGAACTAATAAATTAACTAAAATATACCCTAGGTGCCAGTGAGTCTGTTGGCATAGCAGTTTTGAACAATTAGAAGAACAGGGGCTATTGCTTTCAGAAATGTTTTATGTTATTTTGTTTTTTGGAAAGTGCTAATAGAAGCTGCAGGAGAGTTTGACTATGATCACATCCTATCAACAAGTGGGCTATGGGCTTCTTTTTCAAAACAAGGAGGTTCTCTGCAATAGAGTCTAAAATTGGATGTGCATCCTGTCTACATTCAAGGACGTGTACCTAGACCTAAACCTGCATAGCCATCAAATTTGGAGCTGCGGCTGTGTCCATGTAGCCACTGCATCCCAATAGATATGAATGGGACTTCCTGCATGGTGATGCATGGAACACCTGTGCATCCCCATGAGAGCAAACCCGGCCTTCAGATGGGTGTACACTGAAGTACACCTATGTGAATGAGGCCTTGGGGTCAATATAAAGCCTAGCTTTTGAAATTAATATACAATTGTAGAAAATATAGGTATCTTAAAAAAAACAAAGAAAACTCATCTGCAATACTCACTTTCAATTCAGAGCTGCCCCCGACAGCACTCTGTTTTGTCACAAGATGTCTTCAGTCTCTTGGGTTGAATGATGCTCAATGTCATATGACCCAGGAATCAGAAGACATACTGTGAGTGCAAAGTGACGTGGGCCACTCCTTGAGGGGAGCTGCTGTCATCACATCAGATCTTCTCTCTACAAAATTGAGTATTGCCCACAGCTGAGTGAAGACTTGGGTTTCACTTGACCATTCTGAAAAAGTTTAAGTATGACAAAAACATAGATGTCGGGGGGAGCACTAGGTAGTGGGGGGAGGCAGCAGTTTATATTAGAATTAGTGTACCTCAAATACGGCTGACCTTCACATTACATTGCTGTTGCTAATTTAAAGGAGATTGTAACATATGTAGGATTGAGTAGCAATGGCCTTAGAAAGGTAGAGGTCCCTTTAACTAGAGATTGCAGCTTGAGTCCTCTGATGTTAATAGTTCCTGATGTGGTGGTAGCCGCTGTCTTCTGCTAGCAACGGTGGGGCCCATAAACATTAGTGAATACTGGTGTTGCAATGAAGTTAAACAGATAGGCTGTGGTACTGCTCAAAGCAAAGGGCTCCTGGTAACTGAGGAGTCTGCATGCAGTGTCTTTAGAGTGATGACAGAAAGAGGTTGGGCATCCACCCGCTAACCAATTCTATGGATTGCACGACCTCATAGAAACAAGAGTTATTTGCCAAGGCTCTTGACTGTTTGCAAAGGTGTGCAGAGTTACCGCTTGACAGCCTGTCAGCATGGCAAGCAGAGATGTCTGTATGAGCACCGGACAGAGAGTCCAGGTGCAGAGAATATTGATGCGATCCAGGTGTGACGATCAACGCCACTGCTGTACTGAACTGCTGTGCCAAGTCCCTCAGCAGTAGGCCCACAATCTTTCTCTGTAGGAGAATGGCAGTCCCCCTCTCTGTAACTCCCTGTAGGAGAACCGCACTCGCCTTGTGTCCAACTATGAATCCCGGTCCGAGAGAGCAAGCCTGTCCCTTGCTGTAGAATATATCTGCTTTTTTCTCGTTCTCCAGCTCTCTGGAATGTGTAGTTCAGTCAGCACTCAGGAATACAGTATGTATTGGCTTTAGGACTACAGGTCCCAAGATCCTCTGCTGGCAGAAGAATTGGATTCACTCAGCTAACAAGTGATGTAGCTGTCCCAGTACTGGGCACTAGGGGAAAAAGGGTTAATCATAGTCTCATCTGTAAGTGTCCCTGAATTGCATAATGACAGAGCAAGCACCTGGCTACCCATGCCCCTGATGCGATCCAATTAGATAGACAGGAACTTCTAGGGCACCTTGTGGTGGGACTGTCTGAGAATGAATCTTATTGCCAACATGAATTAGCTAAGATGATTGAAATATCTATCTATTTATCTACACATTGCTATAGTTAATGAATAGTGGATGAATAGTTGGATGGATGGATAGACAAACACATGGATTCCAGTCTTCCAGTCACTACTATGACACCTCTACAGTTCTCAATACTTTATGCGAACTGCACCATCTTTAAAGTGTATGTGAAGCAAAATCGCTTCCCTAGTTTTGGATAAAGCAGGGGAAAATTAGAGCCCCTGTTGAGTTTCAGGGTTTTGTTAGATTCTTTTTTTCCTGTCTGTGACCCTGTTACAGATTTTCCCCTACTTCCGGGGTGTGGTAAAACCAGTGTCACATTGGATAGAAAGGAAGTCCCAGATAGTTAAAACCAGACAGGGATTGTAATCCTTACCTACTCTATCTAAAACAAACAAAGCAATGTCTTTGGCTTGAAATACACCTTAACCTTAAGAGTTGGTTCACACTACCTACCTGGTAAAAGCCATGTTTTACCATGTAGGACGTGTCAGTTCTGGCCGGCAGTGCCTTGTGCTTTACTTTTTTAAAACTTTTTGAAGTGTGAGATTGGATTCATTTCTATGCACTGCAGCTGAGCATCAGTGTACAGAAACACGGACAGAAATGATGCTGCGGGAGAACTGCATTGTGGAACAGCAACATAATGACTCATTGCAGATTTCCACACCGCACCACAGCTCACCCCAAGTCTGCGTTTAAGTCTGAACATGGCACATAGAAAACAGTTATGTCTTTTGCTGAAATCAGCATTTTTCTGATGCAGAAAAACGACGATCTCTGTACAAGTGTGAACAAGCCCTAAGGCAAATGCTGTATGTTTTATTATATATTTTAAAAAAAGTTATATTTAAGAAACCAAAGCATAAAATAGCCTTTCAGTCTGCTGAATTTGTTTTCACTATGGAATGTGGCCTAAGTCATCTTTCTACAAATCTGTCACTGATAATGCTAAAGACCTGTGTAGATACAGTCATGGCCAAACATATCGGCACCCCTGCATTTCAGATAATGCACCCTTCACCCAGAAAAATTGTTGCAATTACAAATGTTTAGGCATTCTCATGTTAATTTCTTTTGTGTGGTATCCACAAAAAAGTGGAGAATCAAAAAGCCTAATCTGATTAATTCCGTATAAAACCCAAAAAAATGGACTGGACAAAATTATTGTCACCTTCTCAAAATTATAAGAAATAATTGCATTCCAAGTTTTTGATGCTCCTGTAATTTCTATTTAACCTCACCTGTAAAAATTAACAGATCTTAATGTTCCTGTGTCCACTGTACACAACATTGTCAAGAAGTTTACAGCTCATGGCACTATAGTTAATCTCACTGGATGTGAACAAAAAAGAGAAACTTGATCAAAGATTGCAACAAAGGATTGTTCAAATGGTGGATAAAGAACCTCAATCAACTTCTAGACAAAATCAAGCTGACCTTCAGGCACAGGGTACAACTTTATCAGCTTACACTATACGTCATAATCTGAATGAAAAGGGACACTATGGTAGGAGGCCCAGCAGGACCCCACTACTGACACAGAAACATAAAAAGCCAGATTGGAATTTGACAAAACTTACCTGATGAAGCCAAAATCCTTTTGGGACAATGTGCTGTGGACAGAAGAAACAAAATTACAGCTTTTTGGTAAAGCCCATCATTCTACTGTTTTCAGAAAAAGAAATGAGGCCTTTAAAGAAAAGAATACAGTCCCTACAGTCAAACATGGTGGAGGTTCACTGATGTTTTGGGGTTGTTTTGCTGCTTAAGGCGCTGGCTGTCTTGACTGTGTGCATGGCATTATGAAATCTGAAGACTACCAAAGAATTCTGGGGTGCAATGTAGGTTCCAGTGTCAGAAAGTTGGGTCTCCATCAGATGTCATAGGTCTTACAGCAGGACTATGACCCAAAGCACACGTCAAAAAGCACCCAGAAATGGTTTCAGTCAAATTGCTGGAGAGTACTGAACTGGCCAACAATGAGTCCAGATCTCAATCCCATGGAGCACCTGTGCAAAGAGATTTCAAAACAGCAGTTGGGAAAAGGAACCCTTCCAATCTGAGAGTTCACAATTCCAGTAGAAAGGTGTAAGAAACTCATTGATGGTTACAGGAAGCAA